AAAACTGAAGTTATTGTACTTGGCCCGAAGAATCTACGAAACAAATTATCTAAGGATATATTAACCATGGATGGCATTAATTTGGCCTCCAGTGAGACTGTAAGGAATCTTGGTGTTATATTTGATCAGGATTTATCCTTTAACGCCCACATAAAATCAATTTCAAGGACCGCCTACTTCCATCTACGTAACATTGCAAAAATCAGGCATATCTTGCCTCAAAACGATGCAGAGAAACTAGTCCATGCATTTGTTACTTCAAGGCTGGATTATTGTAACTCTTTATTATCAGGGTGTACCAAGAAGTCAGTCAAGTCGCTTCAGCTGATTCAAAATGCTGCAGCTCGTGTACTAACCAGAGTTAGGAAAAGGGACCACATTACTCCTGTTCTGGCTGCCTTACACTGGCTCCCTATAGAACACAGGATAGAATTTAAAATTCTTCTTCTCGCCTACAAAGCCCTTAATGGGCAGGCGCCATCTTACCTTAAAGAACTCATTATACCCTACTGTCCTACTAGGGCATTGCGTTCCAAGAATGCAGGGTTGTTGGTTGTTCCTAGAGTCTCTAAAAGTACAATGGGAGCCAGAGCCTTTTCTTATCAAGCTCCACATTTGTGGAATCAGCTTCCAGTTTGTGTTCGGGCGGCAGACACCCTATCCGTTTTTAAGAGTGCGCTTAAGACCTTCCTTTTTGATAAAGCTTATAGTTAGGGCTGATTAGATTCAGCCCCTAGTTTTGCTGATATAGGCTTAGTTTGTCGGGGGACATCTTACTTCTTCCTTCTCTCTGTCTATACCTGTGTACTCTCATGTTCCGATTAACCCAGCTTCCCCAAATGTCTTTCTTTTTGGTGTCTGTATACGCCGGGATCCGGAGTCATGGATGATCCTGCGCTCCTCTGTCCTGGATCTTGAGTCGTGGCTGTGGTCCTGGATCATAGGTCCTGGATGGATATCCTCGTGGATTCATCTTCCTATTATACACACATGCATTTCCAAATATTTGGACTACCTATGTTGCAAATGTATTATCTTTTCAATTTACACACGGCATCTATTGCACGTCTGTCCGTCCTGGGAGAGGGATCCCTCCTCTGTTGCTCTCCCTGAGGTTTCTCCCATTTTTCCCTTTAAACTGTGGGTTTTCTTCGGAAGTTTTTCCTTGTACGATGTGAGGGTCTAAGGACAGAGGGTGTTGTATTGTCATACTGATATTTTGTACAAACTGTAAAGTCCACTGAGACAAATGTAACATTTGTGATATTGGGCTATATAAATAAACATTGATTGATTGATTGATTGATAGTTAGATAGATTTAGAGTTTTGAAGATTCAACTATGATGAAGAGAACTCTGAACGTGAGTCAAGCTTTAAGCTTGTTTTTTGACATGGAGGAGGAGGAACCTGTGATGTTGCCCTCTGTGTCGTATTGACAGAAACCGCTTTGAAGCGTGGCACAGATAAAGACAGAACAAACTGATTTTTGTACATAATGTGTATATATATATTTGTATTATATTTATAATAACACTTTTGCCTTATCAGAATGAAATCCCATGCTACCTCAATCAAACGTTCACATTATCATAGTGACATCCCATGTATATATTTCCAGCTTTTAAATGGTTTCGTTGTGTATGTTTGTGTTACATATGAAAAATAATATCATTTTCAAAATCTGTTTTTACGTTTTTTTGTTGTGATTTTGGGTCCAAAATGTTCATATAGTAGAAGATCACTGCTCTAAACAAAGTCAAAAATCCTACATCCAAACGAAATACATATAATTAATTATGATGAATACGTTAAGTCTTGTTCATTGTTTTTCACTTTTATTAAATGTTTGATATTTCCGGTGGAAATGGTGGACTATCGGACATTCAAAATGCTGCATATTTTCACTCTTACACACATATATTCTCCTTTTACATACATACATTTTCACTCTCACACACGTATATATTTACACTCACACATTCATACATTTTGCTCTCATATTATCATATTTTAATGCACACATTCATATATTGTCACTCACACATTCATGCATTTTGTTCTCATATTCATATAATTTAATGCTCATATTTATACATTTTGCTCTCATGCGAAATCTACTAAAACAAAGTATGTCATGGTAGTGGTCAGCTGTTAAACACAAAAGTGTATCTTAAGGGCTGTAAATATAATAAACCTGTTGTCAATTTTAGACACAGGCTTATTATATTTACAGCCCTTAATAACATTCATTTTCTGGACTCAATGTGTGTCTTGGCCGTTTTCTTTGTTTCAAGCAAACGAGTGGTTTTTGTTTTGAAATCACTTCCGCGAGTTTCGCGGGCCTCCCCCCTCGCTCCACTGACCATTAGACCATTTAGTAAGGTAACAAGCAAAAGGGCAAAAACGCCTCTCAGACGCTCTTCCGTTTACTTTTTTAATAAAGAAAAACAAATGGTCCGTAGATACACGGACTCATATAGCCTATGTATGTATACTGTAAGGAGAATGTATGTGCGTGAGAGGACCAGTAGGAATTACGGGATAGAAATATGCAAACACAAACCTACAGACTGGGGGATGGGAGATCACAGGAGTGGGGGGGGGGGGGGAGGAGAGCTGTGGAATGTGACCCTTGGGAGAATTCCTCCACACATTCCGATGGCCAATTCGTTTTAAACAAAGAGTTCGCAACACAGGACAGCATGGGCAACATGGGGGGTGGGGGCTGGTGAACGGTCTGGTCAATGTTTGTAAACACAATCCCCAGGATGTGTCCTAATCAAACCAAAAGAGAAAATGCAGATATCATTCTCTCTCTCGACTCGCTGGTATCTCGAGCAGACGGAAACTGAGAGAGGCTGAAGGGCACAGCAGAGGCGGAGCGCACCAGGAGCAGAGACGGAAACTGGGACTGAGACTGAAGGAGACAGCAGAAGCAGAACGCACCAGGAGCAGAGGCACACGCAATAAAGGGATTAAAAGACACGGCAGTCCGAGAGAGGGTCGACGGAGCACCTTTACAGCCCTGGAAAGACTGGTTTTGAGAAAATACTTTTAAACCCTTTTAACATTCGAATTCTTTGTATTGTTTTAACTACGTTTAATTGTATTTTAACATAGTTTTAGACTATCTTTTTACTGAGATTATATTTTAGACAGCTCTGATTTTAGTTTTCTTAGTAAATATGTTATGTTCTACTGAATAAATCATTGTGTTTTAAACTTAGTAGTTGGCTCCTTGATTACCCAGTTTTGCTCTCCACCTGATTTAAAATAACTCTTTCCCTCTCCTTAAATTATTACCCCTCCTTTACATAAAGTTGACGTTGAAAACTGAACTTGAAAATGGTTTCCTCTTTTTATTTTATTTATCATTTTCGGGACAGGGAGACGTGTGTGATTAGAAATTAATTTGCAGAAATGTAAAGTGATCTAACTAAGTTCTATTCATATTCTTGACAGGAAGAGCAGTGTAAATGGGTGGCCATATGCATTTGAAAAACAATATAAATCACACAGTTATTATACAATAGGCTATAAAAGCACCATCGATAACCATTACCTTTATCCAATTCAAACTTTGGACGGGAAAAAAGGAAGGTGTACATCAGGGGTGCCCAACCTTTTTTGAACCGAGAGCTACTTTTAAAGTTGCCAGTCTGCCGAGATCTACCAGTCCAAATAGAGAGGCCATTACTGACAGCCTACTACCAGGTAAATACACACTTCTACTTGTATAAAACTGACCTTTGTACGATTAATACTTCATAAAATACTGCAGATCCTTTATCTTACCTCTTTCTAATCTACACACATACAAGTATTTAACTGAAGTTACACAACAGTGTTGTTGATACAGAGTTGGAGTTTATTCACACGTCACATACTACAGTGGGTAATGTTTTCAAGAAACATTGAACAGTGCTGCCACATATGATAGAGGGGAAAAAGAAAAGACTCTGAACCCTTTCTTTGCCATTATATAAAATAGTGTTGCTACAAAGTATAAATTAGGCTTACTAATAAGACAACTCAGATCTGAAGCTACACAGGAATCTGCTGCCAACGTGCAATAAAAAAGACAAAATTAATAGAATCAAACCTTTTTTTGTTGCATTTTAGTCGAGTATAAAAAGAAATGCCTTTAAAATAGGATGCAAGCAACTCTAGTTTCTTAACCTGAATTGATAATAGACTATAATCAATTTAAATGTGCATTCTTATACCATTTTGTACAATAATTATAATGAATAAGTTCAAACTTACAGCTGATTAATAACGGTATCTAACTTTAGTTTTTATTATATCAAAAACCTGTTGAAATGCTTCTGTTATTTTTAATGTCCCCCAAAAGCGCGTCGGCAGCCTCCAGGAAAGCTTCTTTCACAACTTCGCCGTCTTTGAAAGACTTCATGTGTTTCGCAAGAACGTGACTGACACGATAAGATGCTCTGGTAGCAGCCTTGCTCTTGTTGTTGGGCCTGGTGAAAATGGACTGCTGTGCATTTCAATAGAGTCTGGCTGCAGACCGCAGCAAGGAGGCGGATCGTATAGGGGCGTTTCCTAAAGGGTTATGAACCCCGCCCCCACGTATTTCTTAAAGGTATAGGACGCTCTCTGTTTCTCATTTATTTTAATGCTTTGAATGAATCATAAACGAACTTTGAAAAATAATAATTATAATTAATTTGCATAAAGAATGAAGAGTATACAACCCACAGAGAAGACAAATTCATAAATTGTAGGCATATCATTTTTCACTGTTTGTGCAGTGGTAGTAATTATTATTCAAATCAATCAACTACGTTTTATGGAAGATATTGCTGTATATATAATTTAACAACATGAATAGAGGTTTCTGTACACCTAAAATACTGAAGTTTAAGTTACTGTCCTGATGTGTATCATTCATTTGTTCATGTTGTGTCTGGTGGTAAGATTAATAAAAAAAAAAAAATATATATATATATACAGTACATACAAAGAGGAAAGTCTTTATTAAACAAACATTTTACAAACATTTTATTCTTGGAAGGTGCCTCCAGCATCATAGAAACAGTCAATGCTGCAGAATCCTGCCAGCTCATCTTCCGAGTACATCCCAGAGAGTTGTCCTCTGCGCCCATGTCCCCTGTAGCCTTCCGAGTCCTTGTACCGGTTGCGGCACTGTATGCAGCTGGAGATCTGGAACGGGATCCTGTAGGTCTTGGTGTACTCCACAGAGTACTTCTTCCAGGTCACCACACCTGATGAGAAAAGAAAAGAAGGACTCAATTGTCTAAAACGTAGGTTCAGGTTATTTTTTATTTAAGCCAGAAGCCTACAGCTGCCACCCAAAAAAAACCTTTGCGCTGGCCTTTCTTCAAGCCAGACAAGCAGTCATGTCACCTATAGCTTATTGTGGTTCTATAAGTGAGTGACTTTACCTGTAGCATAGAGATGCTGTGCACATAAAAATGTGGGAGTCTAAATGAAAGCGTAACTATATACCGCATGGGCGGCCATGGCTGAAGGGTTAGTGAGCCCGACTGGGAAGCCTCCAGGGGGCCTCAGAAATGTGTCAAAGTGTCCCTGAGCAAGACACTTAACCCCAACTGCTTACCCGAGGTGCTGCCCCCATAGCACCCACTGCTCCTGTTACATGCAAACACCTCATTTCACTGTGACAAACCTGAAGAAATAACCAGCAAGCTAGTACAAATCAGACATTTTCAACCCATGATAAATCTAGAGCTCTAGACACATTTGAAATAAAGCTGGTTTGTTGGTCCTGTCCTTAAACAAGGCAGAATTAGAGACATACAACTTACTGTCAAGCCAGGCAAAGTGTGCTTCCTGCAGAAAGTAGTCCTCTCTCACCACCTCCCAGAACCGTTTACATGTAAGAGCCAGGGTGCGGATTGCAGGGTCGCCATCCTCCAGCACCACAAGGACGAAGTTCTTCAATAAAGTCTCCGCAGGCAGCTGTGAACATGTAACGAGAGTCATTACAAAATATTGTTGGAATAATACGTTTCTATCATCAACTTGTAACAAGGACGGTGTCAAAGGATCTTTCATTCTATAACCATCACATTTGTGTCCTACAGATAACATAACGACTCTGCCAGTGAAAAAAAAATGTATTGCCCTCTGCAAATTTGGTCTGGACCCGCTCGGTTGTAATTGGATTTCACTGCCACCTTAGTTGTGGGGCACCAATCAGGGCCAGCATGCAAAATTGCAAATGTTGGGTTGGTTTATCCTCAGAGAACTTTTTTTTAAAATCAGCCCCTTGGAAATGCAGGTTCCAAACAGATTCCAGACTAATATCTATACGCAGTGATATTAGTCTGGCTATGCCAGGCTACAGATAACATATTGCATTGTATGTAGTTATTGTTGAGTATCGGATTAAGATACAGCATTTACAAAGCGGCAAGATAGAATGTCTACATGGAGCTCACCTCTAACTGTTTATGCGACTAAAGTGAATTGCTTAGATGTGCTTCACATAAAAATATCACAGTATAGCCACTTGCCTGCAAAATGCCAACGGCCATTCCCTCTGGCTCCTCCATCTTGGAATTTTTCGAGGGGACCGGTTCCTTGAATGAGATACATATTACCTAATGGCTTCGTAGGTGTCAACACAAGTTTCTTGGCTCTGTAAAACGTTTATTTCTTACCATGGTGACCTCATCGCACTGTCTCTTCCTGGGGATCCTCGTCAACGGTGTCACACTTCCGCTGTCAATCTGTGTTCTCATCTGTTGGCCCTCCACTGTGAAGTGGGCAAATCTACGTCCATGGCTGTAGTAAATCAAATCCAAATTACATTGCTGACAGATTATTGCTAATAATATCTTTACAGTTTTTTTGATTATTTAACAACACTCGTACCGTTCAACCTCAAGATTCTCCACCAACAGTGTGCACCACCACCTCCTCAAACAGGGCATGTCATGCTGAAGAACAGAAGAGTACAATACATTAACAGATAATTTTATTTGGAAGCCCAACTCACTATTTGCCTAACAGACCCACACGTTAACATCAAACAAAGCACAATGAGCACAAACATCTGCCTCCTCAGAAAAAAGAAAACCAAAGTGAAGGGAAACACTCTTTGGAAGGACCAGAGGGGTGTCCTTTAATGGACCAAACCCCAAAATATAATCGCACTATTTTAAGCATATCAGCATTGATTATATACTTACAATTGTGAAATCAAATGGAGCCTCCATCACAACATACCAGGTGTACTGCAAATATAGCAAAGTTGTGTTGGTACAATTTATTTTGCATGCTTCGAAACTCAGCATGCAGAATAGAGAGAGAGGGTGGGGGGGCATTCTATTGCAACAAAATATTAATTAATGACTTTAGGTGGAACTGAGGCAATGGGAAACAAGTAACGCTGTGTCAGAGAGTACTGACATTTGGACAGTGTTCCTTTTACAGATGAGCCCAGTGCCAGTTAAGTGAAGGAGAAAGCATAATGGTTCGCCCTTCTGGAAACCTTTAACTCACCATTAGCATGAAGACCCCACAGTCATTTCCCGATAGCTGTTTTGGGAGACCCTGTTTAAAATACACATTTAATTGAAAGAAAACGACAAAGTTCAATGGCTTAAAGATGTAGGAATGTGGCTTGGTGGGTTGTAGGGTGGGTTAATTTGACCTCCAACTAACCTGCCCCAGGGTTATCATTATAGCTTCTTTTTTTTGGTGCATTTATTGTGAATTTATTATGTTGTACCATGTATTGTTAGTTGTCAAGATGTTGAAGGTTTACATGGACCACAATGAAAACAAGCCTTTGGCTTTTTTTGTAGTGTTCTGTCAGTGTTAATGTACTGTACTGTCAATAAAGTATTCAATAAATGATAACCACAGTAAAGTAAACGTGTGAAATTAGAAATAGATTGTTGTAATAGCTAAAAACTAATAAATGCTCTTTGCAAATTAGTTTTACCTCAATATCCTGGCCTGTAAATTCTGACCATGCTCCTCCTGGGATGACATGCTGTGCAAGAGCCCTGATAGAAAAAAGTAAATCAGTATCTTCCAGAAATACTCACCACAGTTGTAAAGGTTCAAGCTAGTCTGGGGAACAGAACTCCCAAAAAGTATTTATAACATTTTTGAAAAAGTCTGGGGAACACAACCGTTTTATAAAATTTGAGTTAGGAACCCAAACTGGTTTCATTGATGAACCGGTTCCAATGTTGACATGCGAAATATAATCTACCGTATAGGGTTCGGCGCTAATCACTTCCTTTAATCAATGCCAGCATGTTGACAGCAGTTAATTGCAAAACAGTGACATCACGTGTACGCTGCTGTAATTTACTTGAACATGTTAAAATGTTATTACAACCACCTTAAAATACATGCAACCCCTAAATAAATGCAGAGCAATGTAGGGCTGGGCAATACATCCATTTTATAACAATATCATGACATTAGAATAGACATAACAATAAGTGTTAAGAACATAAGTGTTATCTTTTCCTGGTTTTAAAGGCTTTACAGTAAAGTGATATTTGATTATGTCCGTATCACCCAGTGCCAACAGTTTGCAGGTCTGAGAACACGACTGCCAAATAAATATTTACTTTAAAACGTTTGAGAAAGTCTGGGGAACACGACTTTCAGCAAACAACTTTTAAAACCTCAAGATCTTTTGATAAGGCTGTGGCGCAAAGCCTTGTCCCCTGTAATATTGTGAGTCCAGGTAGAGAATCTCTCCCTTTAATGGCTTCATAACCTATAGGGAAAATAGTCAAAAAAGTATTCACCATTACATTGGTGGCACCGTTCCCCACACTGCTCCCCGGGAGCCGTTCAAAATGGCAGCACACTGCTCCTAACACTAGGATGGGTCAAATGCAGAGAAACAATTTCCCCACGAGGGATTAATAAAAGTCCATTTTATACGATCTTATAATGTAGGTAAATTAATGTTATGGAGATAATTGTCCAGCTCATCTTGTGAGTAATCACTTTGAGATTTGTATAATTTGTTATAAAATTCATAAAAAGTCTGGTTAATCTGTGGAAGGTTATCTTGTTGTCTTTCAGACGAATTGCCTTCATAGCCCTTTCTGCTTGCTGCTTCTTTAATTGATAGGCAAGTACACTCTAAAAACAAATGCCTTGGTCAACAAAGAAAATCAAGGCAACAGTTTGCATCGATGTTTATTGACTTAAGACAACTTCTAATGAAATTGTCTTAAAGCAACAAAGTTATTTGAGTTAGGGGAGAAGGCTTTTCCTCTACAATCAGAGGTGTTTTTAATTACCACTTACTTAATAATTGGTAGCATAAACACAAGTTTTTAAGTTGATTACTCCAAAAATGAAGTTGCTCCAACTAGTTTTACCACATGATTTAAAATGAATTGTAAGTTGTATGTACTTAATTACCCTCATTGTGAACACACGTTTTTAAGTTGACAACCATTTATAAATTAAGTTGCTCCAAATATATTGTATTCAATAGTTTTTTTTCTTAGCTTTTTCATGTTTTTGCCTTTAAAGAAATAAATAAATTGATTCCACAACAAAAATATTAGGCAATTCACTTTTGATTTTGAACTGCAGTTGTTTATTTCAACACATGATGTTTCAATCAGGAGAGAATTCATTTAGTTTGAACATTGATTGACACATGCCATATGATAAGGTGCATGACCACCTGAAATCACAGCTGACTGCAGGAGAACCATTTTATAGTGTGGCTGCAGCTCGCTGATTGGCTGCTGGAGAATGAGGTGAAATGTAATAGGTTAAAGAGAACGCCTGTGATGAGCTGATTATAAGCAGCTGCGGAGTGAATGTATTTACACCCAGTGTTCCTGAAAGAACTTGCGCTGAGCTTCATTTCAATCTTGAAAAAAAAGATAAACACAAATTGAAATTGCCCAACAAATAATAAACACATTAGCCATATTACCATGGGACATGGTCAAACAGCAATTTGCCTATACAGTGCAACTACAAGGCTATCTACTGTATTTGAATGACAAAAGATGACACTATTCACACACATTTCTATTTGTGGGAGTGGAATTGAAATCCTTAACTCAAGGTGTAGAACAATTAACTTATCAAGCCAATTGCGTTACTTACTACAACTTGAATTTAGTTTGAAGTAAATTAATGCAGAAATCAGAGTTCAAATTACACACAATATTAAGTTGATGTAATTACCAACATTATTACGTCAACACAACTTATAAATTAATGTTTGCAATTTAAAATGTTTATCTAAATCAATTAACCCACATGTTTATCTTGCAACCATGCATTTAATTAAGTGGAGGTGAAAGGTGGCCTGAATTTGTTTCAGTATCTTTTTGAGAGAATTAAGCATACATTTGTCAAATGTTCTTTGAGGGGTCCTTAGTTTTAAATGATCTGGTGAGGAGGGTGTGACTTGTTATGTTGAGTGGGAGGCGGAGTCCTCTGCAAAAGTGAGAGTCTTTTTCACCAGTATAATGTCCATCGATGTCTGACTCTGTTTAAAAAGTTCTTTAAGCTTTGTAGCTTTTCCATCAATCATTTTCAGCCAAGCAGTCAGAGGCACCCGCAAGGATGTCTGAAAAACCCTGCATGTAGAGTTGAAATACTCCAAAACAAAATCAGCGGGGTCCTTCCCCAGCGTCACCAACTTGGTCCGGTAATACCATCGCCCCGATGGTCCGCTTTTAGTTTCCCAGACGGTGCTTGTCAGGACTCTTCTCACGGCGGGGGGATATCTCCTTCTTCCTCCACATTGAGGGGCAGCGGTGAAAACTCTTCTTTGATCTCGCTTTTCTGCGTTTCTTTGCTTTTATTTGCAAATATCTTGTACACCGCTGGTTCCACGGTGGTTTCTTGATGCACTACTTCTTCCGATACAGTGGTTGCGTGGAGATCTCTGGAGGACACCAGAGTTAACACAGCCCAATCTGTTGAGGTCAGTGTCGCTTTAACACTACGGGGTCCATACGTTTCTCCATTCTTCAGATTGTAGAAATGCAGTTCATTCGCCATATAGTTGAATACATAAAACATCGCCATTTTTCAGAGTCCATTCTTCATGAAATTCTTCGGCTGGAGGCGTCTGAACCCGGCACATATACTGCATCCGTTTCTTGATTGGCGCTCCGGACGGATGGCGGTAAGTTGTCACAGGCGTCTCGCTGATTAAACCCATATCAAGGCGTCTCTTGGCCATTTTTCTTTTTTGAAAGGTGACTTGGCGAGTGTAAATGACTGGCTTGTTATTTAGTTTGAGCGTATTTCTTTTTTCATCTATTTCTACCCCCTTACTTTTAAATGATCTGGTGAGGAGGGTGGGACTTGTTATGTTGAGTGGGAGGCGGAGCCCTCTGTAAAAGTGAGAGTCTTTTGCAGTCAAACCTTTTTTGTTGTGTGAAGCTGACCGTTGAGCGGCCCGACCAAGCAAGGAGGCAGAGGCAGAGAATTCAAATATAACCCGGTGTGGGCATTTATTCATCGCTGTGGTACAGGATACACAGCCTCAATATTGCTGCCCAGGTGAACACAGTCACCAGCCACAAGGATCTCACCCACACTACCAGCCTCCACCAAACAGGAAACACAGAGCCTAAATACACACCCACTAATCAGCAATTAGACACAGGTGAGGGGGGAGGAGACAACACAGGGCACCAGGTGAACATAATCAGGAGTAACAGAAAGAACGGGAGGGGGAACACTTTTCAAAATAAAAGACATGTGCAATATACAAAGCCCGAAACCGTCAGTCCACAGTGACGAAGCCATCTTCGTCACATTTCCTCCTTCCTCTCCCGAAAGAGAACAGTACCTTATTCCTGTGACACTTATTGATCTTGGCCATTTTGCTGTCCTCCATGTGTCTCCACTCCGCCCGGTGTTTCTGCTTCCCCTTGTGCCGCATGGTTTCCTCAGAGGAGGGAGTGAAGTCGGAAGGAAGCTTCCCTTTCTTCCTCAACTCTTTCTCCCGCTCCTTCGTGATGGCCTCCGTCAGGTTCTCCACGTACGCCGCCTTCTCCGCCTGCAGCATCTTCATCACCTGCTTCTCCACCTGAGTCTGAGCGGCTGACAGGGCCTCTGCATGAGCCTGAGCCCTTATCTCCTCCAGCTGTTGCTGCATGACGCGCTCTCTCTCCCGACGGATCCCCTCAGCCATTTTCACCCGCTCCTCCTCCGCTAGAAAAGCATCTTCCTCGTCTTTAATTTTCTTCTCCTCTGCAAGTTTCTTCTCCTGCAGGTGTATCAGACGAGCCTCCTCCACTAAGCGCATCTCCTCTTCCTTTCTCAGCATCTCCTCTTCCTGCCTCTGCAACCTGAGCTGCTCCTCTTTCTCTTCCATCAGGGAAACCTGTTCCTGTATCCGTGAAAACGGCTGCTCCAAGTTCCTCAAACGACACTCCTCCCGCTTGAATCTGGCTGTCTCATACTGCAGGAATGACTTCATCATCTTCCTCAGTTCCTCCATCGTTTTCACCTCCTCACTTGGTCAATCCCACTTCTGACACCAAATGTGAAGCTGACCGTTGAGCGGCCCGACCAAGCAAGGAGGCAGAGGCAGAGAATTCAAATATAACCCGGTGTGGGCATTTATTCATCGCTGTGGTACAGGATACACAGCCTCAATATTGCTGCCCAGGTGAACACAGTCACCAGCCACAAGGATCTCACCCACACTACCAGCCTCCACCAAACAGGAAACACAGAGCCTAAATACACACCCACTAATCAGCAATTAGACACAGGTGAGGGGGGAGGAGACAACACAGGGCACCAGGTGAACATAATCAGGAGTAACAGAAAGAACGGGAGGGGGAACACTTTTCAAAATAAAAGACATGTGCAATATACAAAGCCCGAAGCCGTCAGTCCACAGTGACGAAGCCATCTTCGTCACATGTTGCATACAGCAAATTCTAATATTACCCCCATACAACCTCACATAACTTCATATTGGGTTTCCTTATAGTTGTGTGAAGTAATTATAAAAAAGACAAAGATCATGGGGGGAATAGGATATTTTAAATTATGATTTCCCTCTTCAGAGATACTTTCTTATAGTTAATAAAGTAATTACACATTAGTTCACAATCCATACAACTAAAGAGAATATCCTTAGGTATCACCATTAAAAAACCTAAATAAGATCTTTTTAAATGAATATGAATACCCTCTTTGCAAAACAGATACTTCCTTGAAGTTACCAGTTTCACAAAAACTTAAAAAGAAACATGAGGAGCCCTCTGTAAAAAGTGAGTCTTTTGCAGTCAAACCTTTTTTGTTGCATACAACAAATTATAATATTACACCCATACAACCTCACAACTTCATATTGGGTTTCCTTATAGTTGTGTGAAGTAATTATTAAAAAAAAAGACAAAGATCATGGGGGCAATAGGATATTTTATTATTTCCCTCTTTACGTATTTGAAAAGTACACAACCGGGGGAAAATCTGCCACTTCCTCACAGAGCCCCTCCTCCAGCACACATGAACGCGCTCACATGACCAAAAGAGGGCACGAGATAAGTTTCTGCACAGATCTTCGGCTGTAGGTGTCTGAACCCCGCACAGATGCTGCATTCGTTTCTTGACTGGCGCTCCGGACGGATGGCGGTAAGTTGTCACAGGCCTCTCGCTGATTAAACCCATATCGAGGCGTCTCTTGGCCATTTTTCTTTTTTTAAAGGTGACTTGGTAAGTGGAAATGACTATTTTTATTTAGTTTGAGCGTATTTCTATTTTCACTTAATTCCACCCCCCACTATCTGCTGGCCTCATAGCCAAAGGAAGGGGTGGAGAAAGGGGTGGAGAAAGGGGGAGAGGCCTGGGCGGTGAGGGGGCGGGGGCTAGACAGTCTCACGCATAACTTCAAAGAGACACCTAGATTAACATCAGAGGCTTATAACACACCGGTGTGAAATCACACCTGCCTGTTATAACACCTCACATCAAAGGGCAAACATCAAAAGGCTAATTAGATTATAATGCTATAAATGAACTAAACATGGGGATGTTTAGTTCATTTACTAAACATCCCCATGTTTTTATTTAACAAGATAATGTTTAATTCACGTTGGCGTAAGTACAAAAACATCGCTATGTTTTTAGATCAGGAAATGCATCCAGGCTCAAACAAACTATTTTCAATCATCATCCTCACGATCATTTAATGTATCATATGTTCGCGAGTTGAAATGAATGCACTAAATTTAATCCACGTGAGTTTACAACAACAAAAATAATCGCTTTGTTTTTATATCACATCCGACCGGAGGAAAATGCAGCACGGGTCTCACTACCGATCATCCTAATCCCACGGGCAAACAATAATATGTACAGTGTTAATAGTTTACTGTATTATTAGTGTCTAATATTACTGGGGATTTCGGAATGGTACTGAATTTTGATTTATTGTATCGGCTTCATATCGCAATATATTCCCGAAGTCTGAAATGCAAAAATGTCCCACATTAGGGCAATTCACCCTACATTTAATCATTCATACTAAATCATATTTCGTTTCTTTTTAACGAAATAAATGTGGTTTAATCAACATAATTTACTGTGTTAATTGTTTACTGTAGTGTTGTGCACATTACTTTTCGCTGCTTGTTGCACCCCTGGTTAGAAGCTAAACTGCATTTCGTTGTCTCAGTACCTGCAATATGTGCAATAACAATAAAGTTGAATCTAATCTTGAGCAGGAACAAATGTATTTAGGCTACTTAGTACATATCTGACATAAACGATTAAACACATTTGTGCATTCTTTAAACCGAGTCAAGCCGAGTCCGGAGGTGGCGGCACATTAAAGTGTGCACCTGATTGTTTAACTTGAAGGTGCCTGATGACATTTAATCATTCAAACAAAATCATATTTTGTTTATTTTTAACGAAATAAATGTGGTTTAGTCCACATAATTTAGGCCTACTGTGTTAATTGTTTAGTATTGTTTAACTTGAAGGTGCCTGATGTGAACATTTCCAGAAGAACTCTAGCTTGAATGGCCTTTGTATGTATACAGTAGGCCTACACATAGGCGGCGCGTGAGGCTCAGGTTTGGGAAGGCTAAATAACTTTTTTTTTCATCTTACGCTGCCCGCCTCCGGTGTCTATAGAAAAGAGATCAACTCAGTGAAAGCACCGCCTGCTGATCGATCAGAGCTCAGTGTGCGGAGTTTAAATCTATCAAGTCATATTACAGGAAAAAGGAAATGCAGTTTAAACTGCCGTATGCAGAGAAGACGCCGACGTGTCGCACTTATCATTCATATCACACTGACATCACATCATCAATCAGATCATCGATCTCACATCGATATCACAATATTTCCTTATCTGAGTCAGCTTCTCGAGCCGAATCTGGCCGTGCAACACTTAGTTACATTGTCACATATACTGTATGCAGACGTATTATTTTAAGCAACACATTAAGTTGACGAAACACTCAACTCAAATGTAATAAAGTCAGATCCCCTCGTGTTTTAGATGGGGCAGTATCATAAAACTGTTGTACGCTTTCAAACACTCTGTAGTTTATTTTTTAACGAGTTGTTCTGTATTCTCCTTGCAGGTGCAACTATGTGGCTTGTATCCTGGATTATATGTTTAAGTCATGGATGTTTAAAAGCTCATATTTGTCTAATATTAGTTTACTTTTCATTAATGAAGTATGACGCTGCGCTGTCAGTACACTTGTCCCTGTTTGTGATTGGTCAAATGTAGCTAACCCCGCCCCTTTCACGTGAACGCGTTCTCAGCTGGAGAGAGAAACCCTGGCTTGATTTACCGAGTTGATAACCAGCGCCGTAGGACCGTTTAGCGAGATCTCGTTTGTTAGGGTTAGTTAAGATAACTCAAGCATATCCAGGGTCTGTTGAACTGGCTTCGTGGTACAGGGCACAGGTGGCTGCATAGCAGCGCTAATGTCAAAGACATTATATTTTTATTTTACCAGGATGCAGTTACACAAATATTTGGGAAGGCTTAGCCTTCCCAAGCCTACAGCACCCGCCAACCCTGGGCCTACAGTATAGCCCAACCATGTACACCAGGGGTGCCCAACCAGTCGATCGCGATCGACCGGTCGATCGCGGGGAGATTCCCAGTCGATCGCGAGATGTGTCTAAAAATAGAACAACACTATTCGGTTTTATCGTTAATGTCCTATGACATAATCTTCCTGTGCCAGAATAATGCACTTGAACGCATCAAAGCTTTGTGATTGGCCGGCGTGACCCCATGTGTCGGGGCGTGGCTGGTGGGCAGTGGGCACTATTTCGCTGACGTTGTTTGTGTCAACAGGAGTGCCAGTCCGCACACACACAAGACCGCAATTATGGCAGAAGCAAAAGAGCCCAAAATATATAATTTTCACTCCGAGTGGGAGGATGATTATTTTTGTATCTATTCCAATTCAAAGTCCATCTGTCTCATCTGCAATGCGAGCGTGGCTTTATCGAAGAAGGGTAATTTAGGAGCGGCATTTCAAAACAGTGCACAAACGCTACGAGACGGAATTCCCTCCTAATTCTGCCCTACGCTTCCAAAAGGGGAGGGGCCTGAAAGGACAGCTAAATGCACGAGATGGGTCTGTCTGCAGACCGCAGCAAGGAGGCGGATCGTATAGGGGCGGATCGTATAGGGGCGGATCGTATAGGGGCGTTTCCTAACTTTTTTTATCCAATAGAATAATGACACTCAGCAGAAATACATACTGTAGGTGGCAGTAATGCAATTTAAGGGATTCCAGCTGCTTTTATAAATCCTCGCAGAATAAGTCATTCGTTCTTTCACGATGGCCGAACAACAAGTTGAAACAGCGGTAATAGTATTTTCCAGAGATGCATGTTTATATTTATTGTAATGTCATTTTTCTTAACACACAATTGTGTCGTTATCAAAGTACAACATCGACTGTCCAACCTCGTTACAGCGTTAATAAAGTAAATAATAGTTGTATGTGGTAAAAATGTTTGTGGTATTAAATGCTAACTTAGCATGATGCTATAAACACGTTGGCCTATAGTCCCGTTTGCAACCAGGCCTACTCTACTGTTGTAATAACGTTAAGCTTCGATAGGTCAATAGATTATCAGGCTCGGTAACAATACTGATTTGTGTTACCAAAGCTGATCATCTAATTGACCTAAGGTTAGCGTATATGCTGTGATGCTAACCAGCACTTAGCATGATGCTAGTGTACTGTTGTGTACTGTTGTATTATCTTGGAAATATAAGTAGGCCTGCCCTACATACTGTAACTTAATCAAATAATATGGTATGGATTCGGATAGACAACATGGCTAGCTTGGTTGGTTGAATTGAGTAATAAGATGTGCGGTACTGATTAAGGTTGTAACTGTAACAGTTTGTAACTACTAGTTGTAATGAACCAGACGAGAGACGGACGCATCCTTTCAGTAAATGTCGGATGCTAATCAATATGTAAAAATAACACTTCGGATGTGTCTTCTATAATTATGTAACATTAGTTATGTCATCATCAGAAATGTGGTAAAGTAATATGATTAGAGAAGAGTCACTGGTCATCTAACACATGCTTAATAGCTCACCTAACACTATTAAAGACAGGTTAAAGAATGTAACATCATAAAAACTACCTAATATCGATAAGCAAAAACACTAGTTATATTATACAAATTATGTGACCCCTTGAGCTGCATAAACTAATAAGCAATCCAATTAAAATATAAATATCAAAGCTCATTCAAAAACTTTCCGGTCATTTATGTGATATGAATGGTTACTGTTGAAAGTGCAAATAAAAACAGTTTGAATAGTAAACAATTCCTCATTTTCTTCCAGATTCACCCAACTGTTTACAAGGGGGATGCCCTTCTAACACCCCTTTGTGAAGGCCCTAATAAGTACAAGTGCACATTCTGCAGCAAGGTGGGGGACTATGGCCATATTGTGGCACATCTGCAGAACCATAGGAGAACGGCTGTTAAACATGGAGGTATTTCTTAATCTAAATAAATGTTGCAGATCTTCCAAAATGTACACATAGTTGACTAATTTTAGTTAGTCTAACCAATTAACTATTACTAACTAATATTATTCTAATGTGAATTTGAATATCATTTACATTTTTATATTGCCTTAAGAATTAAGTCATTTGTAAACTGGATTTATCTTTGTAGGATTCACAATGTACAGGTGTGTGTTGCAAATCGCCACATTTCCACTGCTGCTACTGTGGGGAGTTCAGAACCCACCCCACTATTCTGAATCATGTTCAGAAGTACGCAGTGGCAGCCTGTAGCGTTGGATCGCTTCGCCAGAGTAAGTGATGCATTTGAACACACCAGAAGCAGTGGTCATAACCTTATTCCCCCTAAAGACAACTTAAACAAAACATGGGAAAAATGTATTGTACAACTATACTGCTATAATGTAATCTATCCACTGTCTCCCCACCAGCCGCCACTGTCTCCTCCTCAGCCTCCACGGTGGCCTCCTCAGCCTAACCTGTCACCTCTGCAGCCTCCCAAATTGCCACAGCATCTGTAGCCTCCACTCCACTCCAAGCCATCAGTCGCAGCAAAGTAGTCCAGTCAAGGGCCAAAAGGACAACATGTCCTTTGTGTAAAACTGTATTATATTTGAAAAACCTCAAGACCCACATGGATCGACGTCACTCATCATCTGTTCCTGATATTACTTCTAATCACCATCTTCCATCCCAATGCTTAGACCTCAAAAGGGCATTTTTGCTGTTGGAAGAACATTTTCTGGGCTGAGAAGTTCATGTACAGAAGTTCACCTGGGAAACCGCAACCAAGTTGTTTGTGAGCTTGAAAATTGCAAGCAGGCATCAGAATTTTCCAGAAGAAGTAATTTATTAGGGTTTGAGTGTATTCATGTTAGGTCTCTATACTGTCCTACTTCATCCAAACCAGACGTCACACTGAAGGAGGAAGTTCTGTCAGATATGGTTGGGAAGAAATGGATTTCTGACAACACAAAAAGAATGTGTCTAGTCAGAAAGGAGAAAGCTGTGTCTGAAAACATCCCACTGAGTAAAGTGGTGACATTTTGCAGTGGCGCATCAAGAGTTTATGTGTCAGTTCTTGAAACATGCACCTCATATTATTCGCGGTTAGGGAGAGTGTCTGTATGTTATGACATAAAAAGAAATGCTTGGCAGTGTCCATGCTCAAAGCCAAAGAATTCCTGTGCTCATAAGTCCATAGCAAAATGGCACTTGAATCAGACCCGACCTGAACTCTTCCTAAAGGTCCGAAGTACAGACAGTGATGTGTTTGAGACCTTTGATGAATCTGATCCTGAAGGCCACAGTACTGAGGACATTCTCTATCCACCTGAGGGAGCCGCTTTGACATCACTTGTTCTTTACTTGTTGGACCACAAGAAATTGCCAGCTGTTCTGTCAACGGATGCATGTTCACCGCAGAACATGGAGACACTGCCAAAGCGCCACATACCTCTTGAGAACTTTTGCACTGTTTGCCCAGGAAAAATTCCTCTGTCGGATCCTATGCCGATAACTCATAAAGCTAACATAGTGACATTCACTGGCATAGTAAAGGGTATGTTTAGTTTATGAATATATTAGTGATACTTCCGCTGGCCATCCATATGCTACAGTAAATGTTATTTTGTTAAGTATAGCAGTCATTCACTATTCATTTATATGCTGTATATTGTCTTTTTTACACACACACACGCACTATCGTATACACACACAGATATATAGAAATCTGTAAATCCCATCACTAATACTTTCTTGTATTTTCTAAGATGTCTCCACGTACTGTAAAAGGTGTGGGCTTTGTGGACATTTCTACCGATATCAAGAATGGACACAGGGGCTGCACAATTTTGATGACCACACTATCCTGTCACTGCACCTTTGCCTTTTCTTTAGACAGTCTGTCCAGGTAATCTACACTTACGCATTAATGCAACTTTAACCACTTGCACCCAGCATACATATTCTGGGAGTAACATTAGCCAGACTTATCTAAAAGCTCACAGCGCGTCGATGCACTGAGCTTGTAGATCGGCTATTTTTGGCAGAGACATTTGGTGTGATGGGGGGGGGGGGGGGGGGGCAGCAGGCCAAGTACATTAAGTAACTCTGGTCAGTTTGACCATGAATGGAGGGTTTTAAGTGGTTGATACATCCATTAATGTAATAGACATGACACATCATGAAGAATTTTAATATGAGTCAGTGGTGGTGCATGAATTTTGATAGTAAGTCTTTATGAGCAAGCAGTGAATGGTTTCAGAAATGAAGTTTTTCCTACTTGTCATTAAACTCCTGTTTGGTAAAACATCAATGTCAGTAGAAAAGCAAACATGACTTGTCTTACACTCTGTTGTGATCTTATTACAGAATCACACTGCAGTGGGAAGGGCCTTGGATATCTTGGAACAGACAAACAATGAAAAGTATCCAAAGCATGACTCAATTCTTCATGGGTATCTTCACTTTGAGGCAATGACCGCACATGATTACAACTTTTCATGTGTGCACTGTGGTGTCCATCCGCCTGTAGTCATAATGGACTTGCACAAGAAAGGAGTTTTTACTATGGCAGGTAAGCACTGTTCTGTCTTCTCTTTTAACAGACAAATCTCACGAAATGACAATGATTTTGAGCAAAATGTCTTGTAGTGAGTGAAATTGAGGCTCCCCCACCAGAGTTTGAAGGTCATGTCGACATTGAGGAATTCTGGCAATCGGTTGATCAAGACATTGTTTGCAGAAAAGTAAGATATAGATTTGAATGTTTCTATTAAGAGTATCCTGCACAAATAGGTTTTCCTAAGACCCCTGATCCCCTGTGTCTTGGCCACTATGTATGAACTGTACTGTTTATTTATCCAGCAGATAAACACACATTAAATTATCCTCAAAGACTGCTGGTTCTGGTACAATCTCCAAGGTTTTTAATCAGCAAAGTTTGAAACTGAAAGGCATATAAGAAAAGAAAAAAACAGAACTTCTTTAAAATTGTCCTCAACATTTCACAAATTAAACAAAGAATCAAATATAACAGAATGGATAAAGTAAAATCTTTACATATGTGATTGTCACTACATTTGTAACTGCTCTAAATTGTATTCAATGAATTGGCCACTATGTATGAACTGTACTATCAATCTAAGATTGATGTGTTTGTTTTCCACTATGAAGGTAACCGTGATAATCCATGCAGAGTTTCACCTTCATTTCACAAGTGGGCGCCATGGATTGGACCTCGTACCAGATCCAGCAAATGCGTTCTCAACACTGAGTTTTCAAAAGTCAAAAAGTCTGATGCAGACCAGGTAGACATCGATGTCACAGAAGAACGCCTCTCAACTGAACTGACTAACTTAAAGGTGAATTAAAATGTGAATTAAAATGTGTTTGACTTGCTCTCGAACTGTAATGTATCCATTGACATTTAGTACATTGTTATACTAGATGTCTACTCTGCTGGAAGTTTTAAATGGCTTCCAGGTTTGGCCAAAAGCAAGGCAGAGTGTGGTACTGTCAGCTACTTTTCAACGTCTTGTTGGTGTGTGTGTTTGTGTGTGTGTATATATACATTTACACAGGTTGAAGCTTTGCGGAATCTGGTGAAAGGGTGTGGGATTGACTCTAAAGGCAGCAAAATTGATCTAATCCTACGCCTGAGGGAGGCGATGAAAACACGGAGCACTTATGACAAGGTGTGGGGGCATCTGGTAAGTGTCAAATGTCCATTTAGTTAATCAAAAAATGTAGTTCATAATTTATTATATGAGAAAATATTGAATTTCTGTAAACCTACAGGTATGTCTGTAATTATATTGGACAGCTAGGTTAATGGCCACACTAACTATATGTATTTACATTTCAAGGTGGCTGGGCAGTGATCCTGTGTCCTTGTGTCCTTGTGTCCTTGTGAATGCTGTGAAGTTCAACATAAGAGCTGAAAGCCCACGCGATTATGCAGATCTGTTGCTTTCCTTTCTTCACTTCCCAAACGTTGTGGTTTATGATTTTGCACGGGGGTTAGTAAGTCATACCAACCTGCGGGAGAAAGAGAGACTGCCCTTCAGCCCACATGGAGGGAGAGTGGCTGCACCAACACCAGAAAATATTGCGTCTGCCAAGAAAGGGCAACTGAAAATCAGTTTGCCATGGTTGCAGTTCGAGAAAGACCCCCCTGATGTTAATTGCCATCCTGCAACTGGTTCTGCGGAGCATTACGCATTGTACGACACCTTCCATCAGTCTAACACAAAAGATGAGACCGATGCGCTTAGAGTTATTGGACTTGTGCCTGAGCTATGTGGGTGGCTCAACTCCCAGAAAGCAGAGCAGCTCTTCTCTGAAATGAGAAAGAACAATTATTTTATGAACTGTTTCTCCCCATCAAGTCACATCTTTCTAATGCGTAATGTCTTGCATCACCATAATGAGAGGGTTAACCAGTTGGCACTGAAGAAGTTGAGGACAGTCTGTAAAGGAGAGATCACCCTTGATGCCCTTGGAAAGGCCATTTTGGGTATTTATGCTTTAATTACCTAATTTCAATACATTTACATTAGGATCTATTTGAGTACAAGTATCACTTCAAGTAACAATGATAACCAAAAGTGTCTATGTCTAGACATATACCATAACCACTTACCACTTGCAGACACACAGGCAGATGTCTCGACCAACGAGCATGAAGTCGCTACAGATGTGAGCACGACGCACCACTGTGGGAATCATTGTGAGGCTCTCACTATGACCTCAAACATCAGGCCCTGTCGCACCTCATGGACACCAGGAGTGCATAATCCCCTTCAAGAGCAGTTGGTATGTGGTTGCATTGCTGTGTCATAGATTGACATTTTTCCCCCACATTCATTTTGTTGCCATTATTTTGCAATTAATCTAGTGTCAGAGCCCTGTTCCAGGCATATGATGACTCTTATAATAATACGTTTAATTAATTGTACACATTTCCTCCTAGCCAACGTTTTCAATGTCACAAATCTTGTTTTAATTCCTTATTTGTTTGACACTGCTTGCATTTCTTTGTAATGTGTAGGTTAACTATGTTCTTGATGAGACCAGACCAATGGAGGAGCTCATCGTCAAAGACTGTCATACGTGCCTCACAAGAGAGAACCTTGTCACCCTGGGACTAAGACGGGAAATGGACTCCATGGTGGGGAACATTTTTAGTCAGAATTTCTGAAGTTATTGCACTTTTCTGGAATTATGATTACAGTGATGTCTTTACAGGTGGGAAATGCGTGCTTGAGGCTCATACATGAAGCCATGCAGTATCAGGTGTGTATATGCAGTATCAGGTGTGTATATATATGTGTGTGTGACCAATTTGATTGAAAAAAATGTATTTATTGATAGACATATCTTCTACAGGGCAAAGATGTATTCGTAGTGGATCTACATGTTCCACCTACCTGGCTGGCACCTAATCACTGTGACGCTCGACTCTCTCTTCCAGTAAGTACCAGGGATGTGCAGTTTGTATTAAAAAGTGACTTCTAAGATGAGTGTGGGGAAAAAAACCTTAATAATAACTATACATATTTGCAATATTTCCGTTTTAAGGTGGACTCCCACAAGAGGGATGCCTTGATTTTCCCCCTGTGGATCCCAGGGCACTTTGTTCTGTGTGTAAGTGACTCTTTAGTATTGATTGCAAAACCACCCTGAATGAAAGACTGATCATGTTGTGACCATGTAGATAAGCTATATTGTGTGTGCATTGACTTGATCTGTAGCTGTGTGGTGTCCATTGGCTTGGGGCGCTACCGAGGACACCTCGGTAGCACTTGGTCTTGCCGGGACTTGAACTGGTGACCTTCCAGTTGCCAAGCCAAGTCCCTATCGACTTCACCACCACCGCCCATTATCTGATTTAGATCAAGAGTATCTAAACTCATCAATTACAGAAGTAGAAGTTTTGGCTGCAATTAAATCTATGCCTATAAATAAAAGCCCAGGGCCTGATGGCTTCTCGGCAGAATTTTATAAAGAGTTTTGGACTGAACTTCAACCTATATTTATGTCAATGTTTAACAACTTCTCTCACAACAGAACACTTCCTCAATCAATGAATCTTGCATATATTACTGTACTACATAAAGATGGGAAAGACCCCATGAATTGCTCTTCATTTAGGCCTATAAGCCTCTTGGATCATGATTATAAGATTATCACCAAATTATTAGCAAAACGACTGGAAATGATTTTACCTAAACTAATTAGTCCTGATCAAACAGGTTTTGTCAAGGGCAGATATTCTACTGATAATATAAGGAGACTTTTGAATATTATAAACCATTTGGACCCCGGTCAGAAGCCATCTCTGCTTCTTTCTTTAGATGCCGAGAAGGCTTTTGACAGGGTTGAGTGGAATTTTCTTTTTGCTATCTTGAACAGGTTAAATATGGGCTCTCGGTTCATAGAGTGGGTCAAATCAATTTATAAAAATCCTAAAGCAGCGGTTATCACTAACTGCAGTTCCTCAGATTTGTTTCCACTAACAAGGGGGACAAGACAGGGATGTCCTCTGTCACCTTGGCTTTTTGCTATTGTAATTGAACCACTGGCGTCATGTGTGCGAGACAACATAAGTATTAAAGGAGTGAAGATTAACAATGAACACAACATTTCTCTGTATGCTGACGATATCATTCTTTACTTAACAGACCCAGAAAATTCAGTACCACACTTGCACGACACGATAGAGCAATTTGGAAGATACTCAGGATATAAAATTAATTTTAAGAAATCGAATGCTTGTTTCTTAAATATGACGCCAACAGCAAATTGTCTTGTTCTTTTAATTCGTCACCAGGTGGCTTTAAATACTTAGGAATAAATATAACACCACACCTGGATAATCTGTTTAAAGAGAATTATAATCCACTCATTGACAAAATCAAACAGGATTAATCGAAATGGTCCACATTACCAATATCACTGCTAGGAAGAATCAATGTCATAAAAATGAATATTCTACCGAGATGTCATTTTCTTTTTCAAATGTTACCATGCTATTTATCCGCTGACTATTTTAAATCTCTCAATAGACACATCTCAAAATGTATCTGGTGTAATAACAAACCAAGAATCAAGTTACTTACTCTTATGAAACCAGAAACTATGGGGGGTCTTGGTCTTCCCAACTTTCAACACTACTTCTGGTCGGCTCAATTAAGAAATGTACTATCTTGGTCTCTGGGAAGAAAGGATTCACTATGGGTTCAGATAGAAGCCAATACCTTTGACCCGTTGCCAGTGGAAACTCTTATATTTGTTAAAGACTTCAATAAGGTGAAAAATATGGCCAAATGTTTTACAGTGGTCAATACACTTTTAGCCTGGAGGTGTAAGAGAATATTTTAATCTGATCTTGATTATAGAGTATCTTATTGTTTCTTAGAATCTGTGATACTGCAAACATTGTTTGTAGTATCAGTCAAAATCTCCTCTGTAGGTTGAGGTCACAGGTCAAAAGCTTCTCCTTATATCCTGTGGGGGAAGGGTCCAGGCCTGCCTGCATTTCTTTGAGACAAGCAGATTATTGTCTCACATCTGCTATTGATTAGGTAAACGCGGGTTTCTGAGAGCTCCGCCTCTCCTCATGTTGCTGCATGCTGTGGTTTCTTTGGGTTCAGAGATGATTTGGTGGATGCACAGGACGTGTGAAACTAAGTGACCTCCCGGCTGTATTGATGTACTGTGTTCAATAAACTCTCAGTGCTTTGGCTAACGACGTTCCAGACTCCTTCATTCCACCTCAACATTGCAACAACAGAAGTTTTAACTTCACAGGAGGGACTGTACAAAGAAAGTTCATGTTAACCCTGGTATTTCAATCTTTTCTCCTATTTTGAACAATCCTGATCTTAGCAAATATTTGTTGTCAATCAATACAAACAAATGGACGAAATCAGGTATAAAGCAATTGAAACATTTGTTCCACAAAGATATAACATTGAAATCATTTAATGATTTAAGAGCCGAATATGACATTTCAAATAAGGTTTTGCTCAGATACCTGCAAGTTAGGAACGTGATCCACTCAATTATTAAAAGCAATAAATTGAGATCGGGATTGTTGGAAGAGGAGGAGATATTGATGTCATCGAGCACGATCAAAGGTAAATTAGAGAATTTAATGCAGTTTTTTCTAAAAGAGCTCAGTCATCCTTTCCAACTTTAAAAAAGATCTGGGAAAAGGACTTAGGGATACAGATAGATGAAACTACTTGGCTGAATATCTGTGAAAGAACACATTTTCCATTCACAAGCAATAAAATCAAAGAAGCAAACTTTACATTTCTCAACAAATGTTACCTCACACCCATAAAGATGCATAAACTCTTCAAAATGTCCGAGATGTCAAGTAAAAGAAGGAACATTTATGCATCTGTTTTGGGACTGTGATCTCTTGAAACATTTCTGGGATTCGATTCATGCGCTCACAAAAGCCGTTTTAGGCATCGAAATGAGCCAAAATCCATGTTTTTTCCTGTTAAATGACATGCCAAACTTTAAACTGAACCCCAAACATTACAGAATACTAATCACAATAACATATTTTGCCAAGAAATGTATACTTTTACTCTGGAAGAATGAACGTCCTCCAACATTTAAAACTTTTCATTGATCAGATAACACATGTTTTACCTCTGGAGAAAATTACATTGGAAAAATATAATCGTGGACATATCTTTCAAGCTCTGTGGTTGCCATTGTTTTCTTATCTGGAAAATATATCTGAGATATGACCAGTGATGGAATGGTGCACGCTATTTTTCCTGACGGCCGGAAATACTAGTTGTGTTGTGTGATGGTGGTGTTAGTTCATATACATTTTGGAGTGAATGATTTGTGTTAACTCTTTACTACAACGACTGATTAATGACCACTTATCAACAGGAAGATGCTTTTCTGCAAACAGGTTTTATTTAACCCAGGCTAACATTAATAAAATTGGTACTGTTGAACTCAGTACTACTTGGACTACTACCACAAGTACAATCAAGTACTTTTACTGTGTACTTTATGGCAACAAATCATTTCATCTCTCATCAAAGATGGCAGAAAACATACATTATTGTATTCTGGAGGGGAGTTTGACAGGGGATTACTAAAAAAGTACATGATAAAAGTACTTGATTGTACTTGTGGTAGTAGTCTAACAAGTACTGAGTCCAATTTTTATTGAAAAATATAGCACAAAAACATGCATTATTTTATTCTTGTACTACTGTCAGCGATTACCGTAAAGACGCTATTAACCGTGCACTCAAAAATGAAGAGCTACTTATTTGACCAAGCAAATTTGAGAGACGGCTGAGTTGACCGCAGTAAATATAGCAGGACAAAAAAATGAAGAGCAGCTGATTTGAAAAAACAACGTGAGACGGCTGAGTGACTGCAGTGCAGTCTCCAGTAGGGCCTGACCATGGGGCCTGACTCATTTCGTGGCATCTGCAGGCAGTGGCAAGTACTTCCGGCATCTGCCACAGAGGCCACTACTCTGTGGTATCTGTGGCAAGTACTTCCGGCATCTGCCACAGAGGCCGCTACTCCGTGGTATCTGTGGTAGTCTTTTGGTTGGTTTGATACTAAAACAACCAGATCCTGGCATCAATAAATAACCTCACATCAACTAGAATTCTTAAAATGCTACTTAGCTAACAAATTATAGAAAAGTATTATTGGTTCGGTCCACATGTCTTTGTCCGTCATCCTTGTACGTAACTGCGAAACCAAATGTTCCCAAACCGGAGACTTCAATGATGCTGGAGGATTTTCGAGCTCAACTTTATCTGCGTTCGCCATTTCGACAGTTCCTCAAATTACTGACATTTGAACGCATCCCTGTGACCAGCTCTCATAGTATGCCTCTCGTCCAATGAAATGACTTGGTCGCTCTATGACGCGTTGAACCCAATGTGAGCAAATTACTCTGAATGCTGCGACGCAGCACCAACTTCCAAAAAGTTGTTCACGTTCTCAATTTTTTACGTTTAATGTTATATTCGTTCGGTACACTTCGATACACACGTGTACCGAACCGAAGGGCCCATAGCGAATACGTATACCGTTACACCCCTAGTAGGCCTACTTATTTCTGATGCTCTTAAATCTTACATTTGAATTGAATAGGACTGAGATAAACAACAGATCTAAACGAAAATGATTTTACTCAGATAACTGTCAGTTCCAGTTACTTAAAAAAGTTACCTAAGTTATTGAAAATGTTGAGACACAACAAATCTAAGCATTACACATCAAAAAGCCATTGGCGGGAAAAATTACTGTCCACATACTGGGTTTGAACAATGGTAATTATTACTTGTGTTTTATTATTTAACTTCATATAAGAGAACATAATGTACAAGATGCAACCAATATTAGCCTGTCAATATTAGCCTGTCAATATTAGCCTGTCAATATTGTCAACTGTTCAAGTCAAGAAACACTGTACAGGCCTCAATATGCATTACGTCCACTCCATCAGATTGCTTTGTGTTGTGTTCACCACCCTAATGTGATGAAGCCATTATGAGGGGACTCTCTGTCGGGAGGGAGGGGGGGGGGGGCTGCGTGGACCATCAAGAAGTAAAAGCCCATCATATCATTATGATGGTTTTAAGATTAACCCTTCCTGTTACTGCAGGATCCAAAGGAGAAAAATATAGTTTCCATTTGGTTTTCAGTTTACTCCTGAGACACTTTCATTTGAATTCCAATAACCCTATTGTGTAAAACATATGTAAATATCATCATATGAGCAAAAATAATTTTGATGTAGTTTCAGAAAGTGCACACAGGGAAAAACTCTTGTAGGTGTGTGAGAACCCCAAGTCAGGCTATTTTGGGGCTTTTCTCATTACTACCAAGACATGCCTGAATAAAGTATTTAATCACGCTCAATTTCAAGTTTCATATTTGTATTTTGTGCCTCTACTGTGACTTACGTGACGCGTCGAGGGAACTTTGGGATTGTAGCCTTTGTAGAGCTAGAGAATACAGCAAAGGGAATGTTTTACTATCCTCACTAATTCTGTTTTACCATTTATTTATTTAAATATCATGTATCCACTCTTGGTAAATTGCAGAGTTTCCAGGGGGTAGGTGAAGTTTGATTCATATGATGGCATTCTGTATATTGTATACATTTTTGACAACCCAATAAAAACATTCCAATATACAAAGTGCACAAGGTACTCTCATTTGTGAGTGATTAAACAAATGGAAAAAGAGAAGCAGAATATTTGGTAGTAGTTGGTCCAGCATTTCCTGGACATGAAACTGGTAGCTCTGCATTCCTACAGGTTTCTCTCCTCAAACCGACTGCACATGTTTACAACACTGCAGGCTTTTGATTCCTCAAAGGTGTACATGGGTTAGATTCTGTAGCAGAGTTCATCTCCACTCACTACCCCAACTCCCACACGCTTTCATCTCAGAGTGAGAACAGAAACTTTAACTCATCCATGTGTGCAAAGCTTGAAGACAGGTGTGGATGTATCTGTTGAGATATAATTGAAATGCCTCAGATCAAAAGGCAAATTAAATTGAAAAAAAGTTGTAGAAGAATGATCAGCTGTAATTATCACTACACAGATTGGAGTACATGTACTAAGTGGTAGCCAAATGCACTGATTGCAAAAGCTCCAAAGCCCAGAACTTGCTTGTGTTTATATAACACCTGTCAGTCAGTGGATCCCCTCAGTCCCAAAACCTTCATAAATACTGCATACAAATCCTCTGTATGAACCTCAAAACTTTAATTTATAAACATAATCATTTTTCGTCTATTTTACTCTAAACGTGATCATAATTGACTATGCAAGGTACAATTATAATATTATGCTTTTTTGATCAAGGCTTGAAACTAGAGAATAAACGTATCAGGAAAAGGTTTATGGGGTAATTCATCAAGTGAGAAGTAAGGTCATTTTCTCATAGACTTCTATACAATCCTTCTGACCTTGTTTTCCCCTTATTCTATAATAACCAGAAGTCATATGAGCCATACTGTAAATGTATTCCATATGTTTTTATTGATGTACCATAGTAATGTAAATGTTAGGAGTATAGACAAGGGATCAAATTAAAGCAACACATGTTGTATTTGGGACAGGACCATATTTACAATAGGTAAGACTCAACATTATTTAGAATTTTAAGGCACAATAGGATGATATTTAAAAAAAAACGAAAGACGTTGAAATAAGAAACAAAGACAGGCTTCCTTATTAAGAAATTGTATCTAAAATCAATCGGGGAAAAAAGCATTTCTAAGACTACAAATATGACTTTTAAATATCTTGCTAACCCCTAATGTGTAAAATGTAGATCTTCACAGTCCATATAGGCCACACAAGATGTAGAGATGGCCATGAACAAAGAGCAGTAGGCAGTAAAGCCTTGAACTCTTGAACCCTTATTCATTGATTCGTTGACTCGTAAAGGCAACTATAAACACACCGTTGACTGTTATCACCTTATGAAGTTGTAATGGTGAACAGGTTAGCAGACAATTGCCCGTTTACAGAAGCAGCATTCAACATGTGGAGTTATGGTTCGCCCCACCTGTTGAATTGGAATCAAATGTCTGCGCACCTTCTAGCTCTGTTTTGGTCTCCATCGTCTCCAAGCTTTTAAGCTGCTAAAGAACTGCAGGACAATCGACCGAATACAACTCAATGTCCATTAGCGCCCAACAGCTTTCTTCTTGCCTATTTCTTA